GGGCTCGTTGATCCTGATGGTGTTGACTGTTGAGTAATGGTGCCTATAGTAGACACTGTACTTTCCATTTCTGTTGTTCCAGTTGTTGGCTCTGGAGTCGGTGAAGGAATAAGTGTAGGATTTGTGTTTGTCGGTGTTTCTGATTCAGGTGTTGTGCCTTCTTTAATACAGGGACAAAACAGAATATTTTTCTTAAGTAGGAAAATCGCACTTATTAACTTCATTACATTTTTTAATACGCAAATAAAATTCAAGATTGGATAAATTTTTGTCTTATTTAGATATGAATAAAGCACAAACTCTTTTATTTATACTTTTGCATAAAAGAGGGATTATTGAAAAACTTTCCTACATCCTGTATGGTAGATGTTGATGTAAACACTTTATCAATGATCAGTTTTGCATGGAACAGCTTTCTAGGGTTAAAACTTTATGTCAGAGAGGAGTTCAGCAGTTTTAAATCCAGGGGAATTCATTGAGTTGATCAGTGAATTCTTTGGTCAACTCTGTATTGCTGCCATGCTATATTCTATCGATATACCACTGTTCCCTGTGTTTCCTCATGTGGCATGTTCATGCCAGCATTGATTTTACTCAGAGTCATTTGATGCTACTGAAACTGAACAGTCACTGGATCAATATGTGTTCCAATGTCTAAACTGGAATGGCTTTTAAGACTAATCACCCACATGATATTTTGACACTATCCCAGGGAGAAATCAGGCACCTCCCTGATGGGACTGGGAGGAACTGAGGGCTGGAACACCTCCCCTGTGAAGGAAGGCTGAGACAGTTGGCATTGTTCAGCCAGGAGAAGAGAAGGCTCCTGGGAGACCTTACAGCAGCCTTTCAACACAAATAGGGGCTTGTAAGAAAGACAGGGAGAGACTGTTTACCAAGGCCTGTAGTTACTGGACAAGGTGCAATGGCTTTAAACTGAAAGAGAGTAGAGTTAGTTTGGACATAAGGAAGAAATTCTTTATCATGAAGGTGGCAAGACGCTGAAACAGAGAAGTTGTGGCTGCTCAATCATCAGAAGCGTTCAAGCTCAGGTTGAATAGGGCCTTGAACAACTGGACGTAGTAGAAGATGTCTCTGCCCATAGCAGGGGGATTGGACCAAATGATCTTTACAAAGGTCCCTTCTAACCCGAACCATTCTATGATTTTTTAATTTTTTTTTTTAAATCTATGTCACCTCCACTCCACTCCCTCAAAGAATAAAAATTAAGACAGAGGTTAAGCTGGCAATAAACCTTAATTTCCCCCACAGCAAGGCAACAAATGACAACACAGACAGATAATTACTTATTTCTTCTGAAGTCGGAAGCAGCGGGTGTTTCGTGATTATTACTGGTGTTGGGAACGTACTTGCAGTAGCTGGGGTGGGCACTGGTGTGCCAGGAACAGTCGCTGTTGTCTCCAAAGTGCTGCTGGGGGGCACCGTGGTGGTGGCGGTGCTACTGGGAAGCTCTGATGGCGTTGGCACGGGAGTGGTTATCGATATGGGTGGAAGGGACACTGTGGTCGTTGTGGACGAAGGAGGGGCTGTCGTGGTGCTCGTGGTGGTAACTGTAGTACACCCTGGTATGTCAGGGACGCAGCAGACACTGATCTGGTAATTGAGGCAGACCGGCATCGGCATTATACCTCCTATGTGCTGATCTCTATTGTTACAGATGAGTCCTGTGGTAATACTGCATTCCACCTCCTGGCCTAAATTTTCAATGGGGATATCAGGGAATTTCTCTGCTCTGCATGAAATATTCTCAACTTTTGCACAGTCCCAGGAGGGGTCATTCTTCTGAATATTCTCAAAGGTTTCATAGTCACCACTGTTTCTGTCAGAACTGTCAGGGTAACTCACATCAATCCAGTCTGTCCAGATGCAGCTACAGTCTGAGGGAGAAAAACAAGATCAATTACAAACAGCTGGAATAGACACTGCAAGCCGGGGCACAAGCACATGAATGGGTGGTGCTCTGGGCGTCCACTACACACATCATGCCCCTCATGCACTGCTGCACCACTCAGCCAACCCTGGCCACAACAAAGCTCACTTGTGTGGGCAGGTCTCCCTTTCCTGACCCCTACCAAGCACAGTAAGGCCAAGTCAGGACACAGGTACTGCCAAGCCTCATGTGTCTCCCTCTCACAGCTAGGGCACATTGCTCTATTGGGCTTCTCATGTGCAAAAACCACCCATGTAAGGGCAACACAGAAGCTGGAACAAGACTAAGCAGGGACTCCCACCATTCTATCACCTTCTCATGCCACTCACACCACCTCACTATCCCAGGGAGAAATCAGGCACCAGGGAGGGTCATGACCACAGAAGAAGCAGGAACAGGAAACACTCAGCTGCCAAAACCTCAGCTTGCTTCCCAGCAGCACATGGAAAGCTGGAGAACAGCATTCATGAGAAAGCTGGAAGAACCCAACTGCCCAGGGCTTTGGTTTGTAGCAAGGGACAACCGATGGACTGAAACCTTTCTCCAAACCCCAATGGGATAAAGCTTCAAAGATTCCTACAGCCAGATCTGCAGGTGAGTGGCAGCAATGGCCATGGAGCCAACACAAGAGAGGAAAGGGAAGAAAATCTGCACAGTTGTGTCCAAACAGCACCAGAAACTACCAAGCCCCACTCCCACTGCACACCACGGGTCCCACAGAGCACATTCTCTCCGGCTGAAACACAAGTTCGAACAGCAGCAAAAGAAAGACTTTCTGTCAGTTCATTTTCTGTCTAAGCTGAGCAGAGGCACAAGGATGAAAAAACCCCTAATATTCCCAATAACCAAACGAATTGAACCAAGAATCAGAAACATGTTGTGCAACATGCACAATATGCACTCTGCTGAAGTTCCCTGTTAGCAAGCTGCCAGAAACCCATACTGGTCAGCCCAGTCTTACCACAGTAAATACTTTTATCACTAGGCCTTAATTTCTGACCCCCAACAGCAGACTGGTTCCAAGTCAGTGTCTTGACAGAGTCATTATAATCCTTTCCTTGCAAAGAGACTATGAATCATTCTGAAATGTGCTTCTCACTACATTAAAAATACCTACCAATAGGTAAGACATGAGGAGGAGTAAGGATCTGTGAGGCTTTCTACCTCTGCCTTATTACTTCAAACACCTCACCATCTCATGGAGTAAGAACTAAGAAGGAAGGCAGTGGTCTGGGAATGAGGTATGCACAGGATATGTTTCTGTCTGATTGTCATGTGATTTCCCTGTGGTGCAATGTCATTTGAAGAAAATGTTTACAGAGTATTAGTGGATCTCAGCAGCCAAAAAACACAGTTCACAGCAAGTAGCAGCCTGCAGAATGAAATATTTCCCAAAAGCCTTGCAGGGGAATCCTTCCTTCCTAGATCTATAACCAGAGGAAAACTTTAGCACTGACAGAGTGAAAGCAGGAGGAGAAAGGGAAGGAATTATGCACAGCCCCACCCAGACAATGCCTAAAATATATTACTCTAAATCAAGGCCTTGCCTAATTTCACACAATGGAACCTTCTGGGAATCTTCTTTCCAGCAGAAGTATAGAGCTCCAATACCAGTATGTAAGACCCTGCCAGATGATAGCCCTTTATTTCTCCTATGGCAAAGAAAGAGCAGAGAGTAGGTCTGCTAAATACCTGGAGGGGATATTGTGGTGGTGGTAGTTGGTGTGAATCCACTTGTGATTGTTGGGGTGGGTATGGGTGTGGTGGTAATTGTTGTTGGTTTCCTGGTTGGAGTGGTGCTGGATACTGTTGTGCTGGTGGTGATCAAAGTTGTAGTTGATGCTGGACTCGGTGTACTTGTAGTCTCACAAGGAATTTCATGCCACTGACAACAGCTTACACTGATTTCATAATTAAAGCAAAGTGGCCCCAGAGTTGGATCTTGCTCCTCATTTTTACAGATTAGTCCATATGTAACATTACATTCTACTTTCTGGCCAAGTTCCTCTAAGCTCACATCAGGATTATTTTTAGCCCTGCATTCAATATTTTCAGGAGCTTCACATATTTTGTCTCCATGTTCTTTTCTTATTGCCTCATAGGTTTCATAGTCACCACCATCTTCTTCAGGTTTACTCACATCAAACCACTCAGTCCAATTACAGATTAATCCAAAGCATGGTGCTGCAAGAAAAGACAGAAATTCAAGCATCTGAGCTTACAGAGAACAATATGAGAAGATTAATTTTGTGTTCTATTCTGCTAAGGACATTGCAACTCGTCATTTTTTGAAGAGAAAAGAGTTCTAAAACTGGTTCTGTATTATCAGGTTTTTCAACAAGAAGTTTCACATCAAAATAAAATCACCAAGCTGAAGCCTGTAAAAGGACTTCCTTCTCTCTATACTTCTCACATTTTTGCATTTTTTTAAAAAAATTTTTTTTTTGTTTAAATATAATATTCTGTAATGGCCATCTGTTAATGGCTATTAATCATTAATCTGTTTAATTTACTGTACTTTTACATGTTCCTTTGACATATTTTAACAATTTAGTTTTCTATTTCAAACTTACTTGTAGCTACTGAAGAGCTTGTAGTGATAACTGAAATAGAAAAAAAAAGAGATTACTCCATCATCTGCAAGCTTTAGGAAACAAATATAATCATAGTTTTAAATGTCCTAATTATACTTTTTTGCTGAGACTACTGAAACAATTTCTACTACCCTCAGCAGGATATTGAGATGCTAACATGTTTTTCAGAATGAGGAAGGCACCCTGTAGAATTTATAGTTAAAATTTCTTCCATGAAAATAAATCAACTCCAAGTACTAAAAATCTGTTTTAGTGTAGTGTGATAAAACTATTATTAAGTATCACTCTAGCTGTGTCAACTATAAGCCCATATACTTGTACATTCTATCTTTAAAGCATTTTCCTTAAATAAAATAATTTTTAAATGTGCATCCTTCTTGAAGGTTTACCTGTGGTGGTAAGAGTAACGACAGGAAAGGGGGTTGAAATGGTTGTAGGTGAAGTAGGTGTTGGACAAGGATATGTAGTTTCAGTAACTACAGATCCATTTTCTGCACAAATGTATGTTATACATATGCTGCCATCCTGTATTTGTCCTACAATTTCACCCACTTCATAACTCGTTCCATTGATAATACAAGGACACCCTGCAAGAAAAAGCATTTTTTCTACTACCAGTTAAGAGACAAAGGCAAAATCGTTATGGACAAATAAGCATTTACATGAGTCATGCATGCTCCTTTCAGAGCTATACCTAGAGCTTAGATCAAATACATTGCACTAATTTATCTTTACAGGAACATTAAAACATATTTAATAAAGTCCTTCATAAAACACTTGGAAGACCAGACTTACAAATCAGGTTTTAAAATGTTCGGAGAGAAATAACAACTGCAGTTTACTATCTGACACTTTTATATAATGCTACATGTTCTGGGAGCACAAAACCTTGCAGTGTAATCCGTTAGTTTGGATATGGGACATGGGGAGAAAGAATAAAGGCACATGAGAGAAAGGGTTGAATACAAAGTACTAACAGCAAGCTTCAACTAAAGTGCTGCCCAATTTTCTTTGGCCACAACTTTCACTTGCACTGGAAATGGTACTGGTTGCAAATCAGTACCAAGTCTTTTGTAGGGATAGACATAGTAGTTCTATGCATTTTTTTTTCTTTTTATTTGTAGAAAAACCCAAACATTTTTTACCTGGGATTGGTGTACACTGTATGGATCCTGAGGGGCCACAGACACTAAAAGAAAATTTTCAAAAATTAAAATCTTGCAGATGTTTTATGGCACCTTCTAGCAAAGCCAGGAACACAGAAACATAGACATTTGTCATTTGATCTTCATTCATACTACTGGATATTTTTCTGGGTTTAATATCTTCTGATATTGCCTATTAACATTTCATTCAAACTAAGTCATCACCTTCATATTCCAAGTACAATATCTTAAAACTGTACTGAACGGCTTTCTGTTGCAAGTTGCAATACTGCAATATTAACAACTGTTTTTCAAAGTGGTGAATTTATAGCTGGATCAGGGGTTTTTTTGTCTCCTATCATCATGTGGAGTCATAGATGTTACCACTATTAGTAAGATTTGAGGAATGAGCAGTTAGGACTCAATTATCTCTTTCAAGTTTAGTACAGATAAATCAGATTACAGTGATTTTTAGATCCCAGTTTTAAGTGAGAATTCAAGGCAGAGTTGCCCATCTCTTTCCAAAGAGCCATAAGAATGAAAAGGTTGTTCTAGAAACACTGCCAGCTTTCATGCCATTACATAATTTATGACACGTTGAAGAGCATATTTAATGAATTTGCTAATACACTTCTTGTAACAACACAATCAATCTGAAATGTGGATTTTTATGAGTTTGGGAAATTATGAATGGAAAGTTTAGAATCTATATATTTTGCAAGGACTGCATTTTTTGATTCTACATCTCAATTGGAATAAACGGCATTTTTCCTCTTATTTGTATACTTAAATGCTAGAATATACTGGTTCTTCAGTTGAAGTTGCATGTCTATTTTCCCAAGGCCCAGTAAAGTAAATGAGGTGCTCAGCATACATAAATTATTTCCTGAATTACTGCAAATGCTTTTGCATTTTTTATATACCATTTTGTACAGTTCTTATCTGTGGGTATTTCACTCCCAGGGGGAACATGAGTTCCATTAATGTAACACCAACATTGATCTTCAGGCACACATTCTTTTGTCTCTTCATTATAAATAGGTTTATCCTTAGGGCATCTGGGGTAGCAACCTGTTGATGACAAGTAGAACAGTATACAGGAAGAATAAAAATTATAAAGCATTAACTGAATGATAGGATACTTTCTGAAGGTAAATGATTCTCACTGAATCAAGCATAGTGAAAGAAATAAAAATTTTCCAATTCAAATTCATCGTTGGACCATTTGCCTTTCCAAAAGACTAATAATACTGGGGTGAGAAGGATTAAATTACTTTAGTCATGAGAACTAGGGAAGTTGCTTTTTCCTAGTTGAAGATCTTGGAGAAACCCCTAATTTATATTAATTTCTATGGGCAGCCAGTAATTTTAAGACAAAGAAACATCCCAATTTTTCCTACAGATATTGAAATGTGATCATAATATCAGTAATACTTTTGTGAAGAATATGGAAGTAGATTCATTAACTAACAGGTTTTTCACTACATTTATTGGAACACTAGACCTTGTTTATGTGGCTTTAATAGACCAGATATCTCCACCCCAAACAAATAAATTATCTGCATTTTTCTGTACCCTTGGCCAGTCACCCAAACTCCACCTGCAAGGGATTGTCTGTCAATCCTCACTGCATTTTTCATGTAAATACACTTTTTAAAAATTATTGTGTCCTGCTTCTAAATAAACTCTTATAAAATCCAATTCTTAAATACGTAAAGTCCTCTATCCTGTACTGGAGTTCTACATAGCCTACAAACTGAATGACCATGTAATTAACCAGTACTCAAAAGTCACTTCACACTGCCAGCCTGTAGTAAAGATGTATTAACAAAACAAAGTGTGCTTTATTTTTCCACTGAAGATAGAAACCAAAAATAATTTTGAAAGATAATTGGATATATAATAATCTGCCTTCTGACACTTTTAAAATCTTTCTAATAACCTAAGACAATCTATTTCAATACATAGGGTTAACGGAGCGTTTTGTTTGGTTGGGTTTTTAAAAATATTTTGGTTAGGTTTTGTGTGGCCATAAACATGGATGTTTTCTCCAACTTTATTATGTGGTAAAACAAGGTATTTGTAAAGACAGTCACATTCTTGGATCATTGCAGTCCCTTAACATGGAATTTATTTTCAGTTATCAAGCACAAGGACATTCACCTACTAATATCATGTCTCTACATACTTTGAGGGGTTCAATGGGATTTAAATGGCTTGTGCATCCTCTAAGTGCGATGAAATGCACAATAACCTGTTTTAGACGCACTTTTTAGTCTTAAAGCCTAAAAAAAAAAAAAAAACCAAAACCAAACACAAATGAAATATACTGAAAATGGAAGTAGCCCCCAGTAGCCCTCTGACAACACTTTCTGGGATCTGTTAAGAATCCAACATATAGCAGCACCAGTGTGTCTGATATCAAAGATATTTTTCCATTTTAAAAATAGGAGGCTACATAGTAATGCAATAAAACAAAGATGGACCTGATGCATAAAGAATAAGGTTAAAAATGCCCAAATATCAGTAACTTGCTGCTTTGCCATGTAAAAGTTTTTCTTTCTCTCAAAATGCTCTTAGGATGGGATGCAAATAACAATGGTGTAATAATCTTGCATGGTTCAGGGTATCATCCAAGCAGAAACCCAATTTTATGGCTGGGAGCAATGTAGTTATCACCCACTGATGTTAATAAAAAATAAATTACATAATAGGAAACCTTTGTGTAAGACTGAAGTAAAATTCAACATAACAGATTTAGGAACATCTTGTCTAGCTGACTGACTATTCTGTATTCATTAAATGATACCTGCGCAAAGTTATATGAAATAAAATACAAAAATGGCAAGGATTTTATTACCTTCCAGGTACGGCACTGAAAAGTTGGTGCTGACATTATTAATCATCCTGCACGTTGTGATATTACTGCCACAAGGCTCATAGTGCCATTCACACTCATTACGAGGGTTGTAGTAGTCACAAAATATCGCTGATGAGAAAAAAAGAAAAGTTGATTAAAAAAATGGTTGCCAGAATGCAGCTCTGATCAGGTTTTTAAAGGAACATTGCTAAAAGAATCTTCGTGTTAAGCCAGCAAAATTTCACTTGAGGTATAGGATCTGGACTTACTACTACACTTAAACATAGGGTACATCAAAATTTGGGGTCAAAACTCTGGGGCCCAAGATTTTCATATTAAACACTCAAGCCCCAGGATGAAAATGTTTGATTCAAAACACAAAATAATTTTAAAAATTAGTGTAGATTTTAATGTAAAAGTAAGGGTAGATTTCCAAGAGCCTTTTTCTTCCCCAGCTACTACCAAACTCCTCCTAAAAACTCTTGCAGTATATTAAAAATCGTTCTATTTTGCTGTATCACATGGGCTGAGAGACATTCCCAGCAGGACAAGAGCTGGATGTGAGACACTATGGATGCAACTTAAAACAGAATTCAGCTTAGATGACTATGGGCAGAGGAAGGAGCTTTTATAAAATTATATATCAAAGCTGACTGAAACTTATGACTTCTGTTTCACTAATTCTCACGCTTAAAAACTACAACTATCCTTAATCCTGAATTAGAATGAATTTTTCACTTAAAAAACCAATTCTGCCACTTAGAATCTCAGAAATTTTTTGTAGTACTTTTTGGGGAAATATTAATTTCAATATTATTTTATGATTTACTGGTATGAGCCTTAGCACCGTTAATGGACACTGCTTAATATAGTCAGTACTGATTCAGTTCACCTACACAGAAATACTTCTATATACGTTTGTTAAAATCAAATTTTCAATAATTTGAAAATATGAGAGAAGAGAAAGATAACAGGAGTTGAAGTTTACTAATTATCAAGCAAAATGAAAGGATGACTTTAAACATAATGGGAAGGGGGAAAGAGACAGAAAAGCCAGGCTGAATAAAAGAGTTGAAATACACAAATTCACTATTTCTGTTTGTTCCCAGATGCGCTGCAAAAATAAATTGCATTGCATAGCCAGCATGACCTTGCAGAGATAGTATTAATGATTTATTTGATAGGCTTTCTGACAGCAGCCAGAAAAAGACAATCTCGTTTAACTGTTACTCACGGCATATATCAGGAGTTCTCCAGAAAACACAGGCCTCAGCCTTGGTACATTCGTGAGCATATGCAGCAACTGCAGAGCAGAAGCACTCACAATCTCCACCACTGTCACAAGAGCAGGCGTCATGAACACAGGCTTCATAGAAAGGCATCGGGTCCACCTATTGAGGAAAAAAAATGATGTCCTGGTTCACGTCCAAATTAGTTTTAAAATTAGTAAGCTTGAGAGATCTTTTGAGATATGGGAATTGAGCTGGGCAAGAATGAGGCTGTTTCTAAGAATTACCAAATTACAAACAAACATCATAAGCTTGAAGAAGCTTAATGTAATTTGGATAATAATAGATTTAAGTAGCATAGTCCCTTCATAATTTGCTATGATTGAAAAAAATACCAGTCCTTGGCAGTGCCCACATTTTTCAGGTTCCATTTACTGCTCTCAAAACCAAGGTGGACTGAGGCTAATGAAGCCTTATCTTCCCACAAGCTTTGTCAACCAAGTGGTGATATCAGAAAGGCTGCACTTCACAGCAAATATGAAGCAGAGAATTCTGTGCTTGCCAGTTTTTGGAGTTTATCCAATGACACATTAGCAAAACATCTCCACTTTTTTGCTTGGGACTGCAAGAGGAGAAGCTTAGGCTGGATTTTATAGGCTGAAGGAATCAACATAGACACACATATTAAGTTAATTAAATTGGTAGTTCTTTGTGACATTTCCACTGTGAGTTAAGAACAGACTTGTTGATATTAGCACACTTCAGGAAAGAGACAAGAAACAGGGAGGAGTGCTCTATGTGCACTGGGCTCTGGAAGCTCTGGGGCTGACACAGTGCATGCTATGACAATTTAGAGGCACGGTACTAGCAGCTAAGCCTGTCTGAACTGCACGATGTCAGTGGTTTCCAAGAAGATCCCTTCTGTGGGTTGAATATTACAAGGAGCAGTGGTCTCTTCAACAGCCACAGTATGCATTTTGGTTAGGAGAATCTGGTGATCACAAGGCCTTTCAGAACTTACAGTATCAACAGTCTCTCAACCGACCCATTCAGGCTAGATTCTGAAACTAGCTTGCACAGCAGTAGGAGTGAAAATGTGATGAAACTTGAACAGCAGGGGCTGGCACCACTACTGACACAGTCCCATTACCACAAATAAACTATGTTGACTAAGGCCAGCTGACATATGTTGACACCTATAGCTGTACTGAAGTTCAATTGAAGATCACTATTTACCCATCTCTTCATTCATTTCCAATGATCTCTCTGCTTCTGCAGTTACAGAAATGGTCTGTGCTGTCCCATCACCTACTGCTCTCTACAAACCTTGGAGTGACAAATTCCAAAGACATCGCTCCGGATGATGTAGCATTCTTTCTCTGCCCAGGATTTCCGATGTGGTTTCATATCACAGGGCTTAATTTCTTCTGTGACATCTGGGCATGTGGAAGACTGTTTCCAGGAATTCCCAAACTTCAGAGCATTAGTCTCCTGCAACCCACTCCTTGTTGTAAAGTCATTGTTAGACTTGTCATCAAAATTGCCACACAGACCACACACTTTGCCCTGGAAAAGAAAATTAGCATATCCACAGCTTTTAAATATACTATGGAAGTGAGAAACAGAGTCTAGTACAGTAAGAGCAAAACATTGGTATTAAGAAGGACAACTGACTTTCTGTGTAAATGACATATTTTCATCTTTATTTCCAAATCCTTTTTACAGAAACTAAACCTTTATTCATCTGTGTACCCAGCAAACTACTCAGATGCCATGTCTTCCCTCCTTGAAACCAATTATATCTAGTGTATTTCTATGCCTCTGTGGTGGCCCTTCATCCAACTTATAACACTAAACAATGCCTAAACCTCTTTCAGCTGAAAAGAATTTATTTATTTTCTATTCTTTATCATCACGGCTATTAATATAAGCCTGATGGAATTTCATTTTGCTCAAAATTGTTTTTCTTAAAATCTTCTAACATAATAAGTGCCACTTCTTCATCCATGGAAAAAAGAATGACATGTACTCATTTTTCTTAAAAGAACAAATTTAGCAACTTACCCACAATAGTGAACTTTTGGTAGTGTTATTTAAGGTACATCGGCCCCCTCAGGGAACAGTATGTCCCTGTTTATACAACCTCATACTTCCTCATTCAACCCAATGTATTCAGCATGCTGATTTTCAGAAATCAGAACAATCTCCATATATTGCAAAGAGAATTTGATTGTAACTCAAAGCTGAGATTCCATGCAGGTTTCCAAGTTTGCATCCCCTAAACTACTTTGGATGCTTGGCTATTAATATTCAAAATTTAGAATTTCTTAGACATTTAGCTTTATTACAGCCATATGCTATGCATCCTCTGCAATATAATCTGTAAGGAACTTCAGTAGCGCCTCTACAAGCTGTGATAGTAATAATGCAAACTAATCATCAGTGTGCAGAATATATAGGAGTTAAACACAGACAGAATATAAGAAGATTTATGCTTCCTTATCTCATTTATCTATTCATACTACTACTTCAGAAAAAGACAGACAGGTCCTAACTTTGTAATCAGCGGTCAGCTTGATGAAAACAGTAGTCTTCTTATCCCAGATAAGCATCACTCCATTGCTAGCCTCAATAACAAGGTAGAGGCCTACTGTCCTATTCCAATAATGCACATCATCACCAATATCTCTCTGAAGTTCTTTATATTCTTTGTCCTCCAATTTCAGTTCAGTTTTCTGAAAGATAAGAAGAGAAATTTTATAAAACTTACTTTTATGATGAGATAAAATATTAGACACCTGTAACATTACAACTCATTCTGAAACCAATAGCTCAAAGCCTGGGATGACTTTCCAAGATGACAGAAAGTGGAGTTGCACCTTTGCTTGAGAGAGGTTTCAGTACCTGAGCATCTACACCTTTACAGATATATTTGATTGAATCCCTAAACTTTAATTGTTATAGCTGCTTTAGGGACGTGGCTTGGGAGCATTACTTTTTTTGAAATACTTGAATACTGACATATAATGAGTATCACTACTCACCCCTAGAAAAATTTTAATAGCCTTTGAGCAGGTGACTCCAGTAGTTCCACAAGGGACATTCTCTGTGATGACACTGAACGAGCCGCTGGAATTTTTGTCACCACAAAAATCCTATTGAAAAAGGAAAATATGAGCATAAGAAAATGAGGTAGAATATTTATTTTTTAGTTCAATCTCCTAATAATTACAATAATTTAAATCTCCACAATGCATAAATCATTATTGCCGCTTCATGTGTGAAATCCTACATACATATACTTTTTACAGACACACAAATACATACACATACATCTCTGCATACATATAAACGGTTAACACAGTCTCCATGTGTGGCAAAACCTGGGAAACAAGTGGGTCAATAACACAAAATGAGGAATATATATCTTTAAATATAAATATCTCTGTTTTCTAAACTTAGAATTTAGATTTAATTCACAACTGATAATGAGCTGTTAACTCTCACTGTAAGATAGTCCTGTTATGACCACTGTATCAGAAAAAACACCCCACATTTACACAGCTTGCCTGCACTGAAAATACAGAATTTATCTTGGCAGAACCTGCAAACACCTCAGGAACAGTGATGGCAGGAAATGAGGAATCACAAAACCAAAGAGGAAAGTAGATCTTCAGGGCAACCGGATGCCATTTCAGCCCTCCTGATGAACATTACCTGAGTAGCCACATATTCACACCTCCCATCAAAGTCATAGAATTTATCATCAAAGGTGATATAATGGCCACTTCCATATATCGTGCAAGTCCCATAGCAAACATATTCAGTGCAGCTCCAGACCCCTTTTTGGCAGGTACTGCAAGAGAACAGAAAAGTTGAATTTTCAGATCTCACCAAGAGTGTGATGTTTGGAAAACTGCAGAACAAACCAAGCAGCTACCTGATACAAGATAATGTGCACAATACCCATTTCAGTGTTACGGAGTGCCTCAAGTCTCAACTTCAGTAGTTTAGCCTGGTTTTAATCCTACAACATGATTTTTAAACCTGTAACATGATTTTTAACTTTGGCCAGCTACATTTTTTAGATCTGGCAGCATTTATATTTTAAAAATGAGTGCACTTTCCAATAAGAGATGCCTACTAACAATAGATGTAGCTACTATCCTAATATTTTCAGAACAATCCGTATTTCCTCAGATAGCAAAAAGTATCTCTGAAAATAAAGTTTTATACTTGCAGCTGTCATAGCCACTGTAGTACATAAGCCTAGACATGTCTAGAATATATTCTATGCAGTAAATTAATAGAGTACAAAATGATAACTTACCAGGTGTTGCAGTCCACTGTTATCTTCTGTCCAGGAGAATACCACTGGTTGTTATGAGTGCATGGGCAGTCCTTCTTCTCAACGCAGCCCCCTTTCCCATCATCAAATAGACCTTCAGGACACACACAGCCTGAGACACACTCTGCCTGGTACTAAAGAATATAAGGAGAAATTGTTACTTCATGAAAAAGCACTGTATTTTTCCTCAACTTCTTCATAAGCACTCGAGTAAAAATTGCATTTACAACCAAACAGCCTAATACTGATTAGTTTTATAAGGTCTTTCTTTCTATGTTTCTAATGTTTTTCTTCTCTTTTGGATTATCTAAGAACAAAATCATATTTCACTTGGGAGATATGACTCTGCTGAAGACACAGTAAAAAGAAAAAGGGGGAGGAAAATCGTAAGGGGAATCATCATTAAATTAGCAACACAGTAATATCATTGGGAGAAAAGAAAGGAAGCTAAAACAGAGAGAAATAAACTGTTATTATAACTGCATTTTCTGTGTTGCACAGTGTCATTTAAAACATGGAATAAAGGAAACATGACATGGAGAAAAATTGAATGCATACATAATCAGTTTGAGGACTATGACAGCTGAGTTGTACAGGCGTTTGCGAAGTCCAGTCTGGGGATGCATTGCAGTCAAAGTATGTCTTGTTAGAAGAACATTCTGTTACACCTGAAAGGTACATTATTGGCTTAGATGAATCAAGAGAAGGCAAAATAAATGTGTGCGAAAGGTGGAAGTTACTAAGGCAGAAATTTCAGTGTATGTCTATCCTTATAAAAAAAGAAAAAGGCTTTGTGAAGACAGAAGAAAGTGAAAATGCATAAAGGTTTCACAAAAATAAAAAACAAATAAGTGGAGAATTCAACTGAAAACTGTAGGTATGAGTTTGGAGGTTGGGTTATGGTTTTTATTTTCTTTTACTTAATAGAATGCCACTTACTTTTCATTCTTATTGTCACTGAAGTACACTGGACCTTTGCATTTCGGCAAACACTAGAAAAGAAGTGAAGTAAGTAGAATTTTTTTAAAAAGTAAGTTCAGTGTCTTCAATTTAAACCTAAGGAGTTGTTTATATAAATTTGAGAACATTTACTAGAGACGTCCTGCACAATTTCTATTGATATTTCACAGCGAACTCTGTTGAAGTGTTGAAGAATTTTCACTTGGAGAACAAATGTAGCAAGATTTTAGGTATAATGCACAAAAAGGTTATGTTTTAAGGAATGACGGTTTTTCTATTAATCTTTAATAATATGCTGTTCGATGGCTCAGGACACAGATAATAATGATAATATAAATCAAGGCCTTCATTTGGAGTCACAGGATATTTTCGTGCCTATTCAACTCTTAAGCTGCGAATTTGTCAGTCTTTATGCTCCATCTGCCAGATGAGAGAAGCAAGCAATTCACCGTTTGCACTGATGATTCATGCAGCAAACAGCTGTCAGTTCATGATAAAAGAAACCAAAATCATGAAAGTTGCTTTCAAAAGCCTATGCTAGAGTAAATACATATCAAATGGATCCTCCTCCGGTGGAACACAAGGAAATCTGTCTCTGACAGGAAAGGAAACACCAGCGTAACATTATAGCTGGCCGTTTATCTTCCTTCTAGCCCTATGCTCAACAAGGCCTTATGAACAACACAGCTTCAGACTAACATTTATCTGTGAATACTCACATGTCCAAGCAAAGCTGCATCTCTCAATTATTAATAAATTACATTGCGACGGGATGATGCTTCCCTCAGCATGAGGATAGTGATAAACATATTACAAACGTTCACTAAAGCACCCAAAAAAGCTAAGCAGCTTACACCTAATAAGAAAAAAAGGATTTCACCCCCAAGAACAAGAAGCCACAATAAAACATACCAACGTTCTCCATCTTTTGTGACATATTCCCCTGGTTCCAGGTATGATCCCTTGTAATAACACTGGCACTTGGAGATGGGCACACAGGCATCCTGGTTATCCAAGTACGTATTATATGGGCAGCCACAGCCATCCATAGGAGCAAAGTCTTGCAAGCAATGCTTTTCACCATCAGTAAGGGATCGACAGGTTTGCTGGCACGTTGTAAGATTGTAAAGGAAGATTTGATTTCCTGGGCAGGCAGACACTTCACTAGCTAAAGGGAAAATAAACAAACTGATAAATAAGGGATGCAGGATGGACAATTTAACCTTGACATTTCCATTTTGGTTTCTTTGTCTATGCAGCATGTAATAGTAAAAATACTCCTAGATTTTATTAAAGTACAAAAATATCATAAGTTACAAGTAATGCTAGCCTAACTTTGTTTACCAGTTGAAGACTTCTTTTTAACTGCTACTGATAGTCTTTACTTTCATACCCATATTTGTTATGGGTATGATATCACCATACTGATCATCAGAGAGAGAGCACAATATAATAAACTCCTAGTCTTAACAACACTGTACTGTTGATGGAAAACAAACATAGTGATAAACAGGGACACTGATAAGCAAAGACAATGTAAAAGCCATGATAGCTAGGATTCCATTAGTCAAAGATAGAAACAGAATTATTTTTTAAACTGGAGAAAAAGGTGAAAGTGAAAAATACTGCTTTCTACTTTTAAATATGTCATGAACAAATGATGGCTAAAGACCAGAACATGAATAAGTAAACATTATCAGCATTGTCTCTTTTAAGTCAATTAGACATTTCTAAGATACTTCAAATACTTTAACACTGAGATCACTGATAACCAAATTTAGAGAAAACCTGCTTATTTCTGGTGGCCAATTAATTCCACGGGGATCACAGTTCCACTACTTACTGCAGACACTTTTTCTCCAGCCTCCCAGTATGATCCCTTTGAAAGCACAGGCTCTTGAGTAAGAGGACAAGGCAGCACACAAGCATTCTTCATTGTCTTCGCAGAGGCAGGTGTCATATTTACATTTCTGAAAAAAGAATGAAAAGGTCAGTTAGCCCACAGGAAACCAATAGGCAATTGCAATTCAGTTGCTATGAAATATCCTGTGTCCTTTTTCTGATGCTTTTATTAATTGCTACAACCAGGTAACAATAAAAGGAATGGACAATTACCAGAGATTGAAAGTACAGCTTCATTTCATACACAGTTAAAATGTTCAGATCCTTATCCTAACCTAAGACAAGCCTCTTGAACTTTTTTAAAGTAGCCAGCCTCCTAACAACACCTTTCTTAAGGGATTTTGATATCATTCTTTCTCAATTACAACTTAGCATAGCATATATCCCTAGAAATTAAAAATCATGAAGATAAAATATTAGCCAGATCTATGAAGATCTTCACAAAATTTGAGTTCAGACAGAGTTCCAGGTATGAGCAAAGACTTCAACCTTTTTTTATTCAGGTAAGCCCCCATTACTGCTCAACAGTGATGAGCACAGAGGAAAAAGAAACCATGGAGATTCTGGCATGAAAATTATTTGATGTTACATTCCAACAAGTACAGAAAACTTAATAGATGTTTACCTTTTTATTTTTCCTGACTTATTAGCAACTGATGTGTAAGGGTAGAGTTAAACTTCCTGTGAACACCTGCATCTCTTGAATCTTCTTTCCAGTTCAAATATCCAATCCAATAAAAATGTACATTAAATACAAAACATCAGAAACCAGAACAAATTTACCTTTTTCTTCAGCAGCACTCCACAAGAATCTCATCACAGGAGATACTTCGGACGTATATTATGCTGCCTTAGTTAATCACTGCTAACAGTTCACCAGCTCTTACGGGCAAGCTACTTTGTAATATCTCAAATGTTTCAACAATAATAAATTTCTACTGTCATCTGTCTGAAACAAAGCAGTACTAAAGATTGCAAGATTAGAATACCTTATAGTATTCTGAAGGATCAATGGTGGAGTGACATCTTGCAAAAGGACCCTTTGAGTTTGTCAAGAGAGAACACCAATGCTCAGCATAATTCGCTGCAAAAGAGGAGAAAAATGAAATTATATCATTATATTAATTGCATTCACTTATCTTCCTTGTGCCATGTCTAGTTGTGTTGTATGAATAAAGGCAATGCAACAATATATATGAGAGAAACGTGTGCACTTTGGGGAGTGGAGAAACTACATGCAACCACTGTACATATATTTCCATTCTCTGATTCGCTTTTTTAGTAGTAGACACAATCATAAAATCAAAAATCATATCTGACTGTTGCAACTCATCCACATGAAATTGTGACAGCCTTTTCCATTTGGGGACCATAAAAATAAGTTAAGCACAGGGATAGATAATATCAGGAAATACAAGATGCCTTTACAGATAATATAAATTAATATCCTTGCTTGCCTATCTTCCAGCTCAGGATTCCTCTACAAGCACCCCCTGATCCGTCACTTCAGTTTGATGGGAAGTCAGTGCTTGTGTGCATACATATTTGCAGAAATTAATTATTAATTTGACATTCTTCTAAAAAAACTTTAATACCACACTACAACTCTGAAACACCCGTTGCAGTAATATACAGCAAATGCTGTTCATTCTGGCAGAAGTCAACCATCTGACTTATTAGTGTGCTTACCACTTTCAATGCTGAGACTGCAGGGGTCTTCCAGCTTTTCTACCTGGTCTGGACAGGTGGACTGAGCTTTCCATGTGTTAGCAAAGGCAGATCCTGTAGCTTCTACCAGCCCACTGGTTGTTCTAAAGTCATCACCTTCCATTCCATTAAAATTTCCACAAAGACCTATTGAAAAAAGAACGTAAAATGAAGGTAAACATTTTACCTAATTATTACTCATTCTCATTCTAAAATATCACAGGGAAAGGGATAACTGATCACAAACATTAGAAACAGAAGCTCATACAGCTGATTATTCTACCCCAATATGAATGCATACTGTAAATCCTGAAGATTTTGGAGCCCTGTTTAAAAAATGTAACTTCTTGAGAAGAAGAGTCTTCATGAAGGTATCTCTGCCTCAGGAGATCACCACCTTAACCTGTATTTTTTGTGCTTTCTGATTATATTAAAACTGCAAAATGCACCAAAAGCCTGGGGGTGTGTGGATAGTTTAAAATTGAACTGAATGCAAATAAGGAATATTCTAAGAAACATTCATGTATTGGCACTGGAATTGTAACATCACCTTAATATGAAAAATAAAAATGCATTTCTAGTTTTCTTGAGTCAATTCTCTTCCAATGTTTTGGTTTCTGCTTTCAATTTCCTCCTCTTCAATCAGTAAGTAGCACAAATTATCATTCACATAAAGAATACATGACTTCATCTGTAGTAGGAAAAACATCACTTTGCTTCCCATTTAAACAGACACTTGCCTTGAAGTTTTCCTTGAACAGATTGATCCACTATCATAAAAAGCTGCATGACTGGAAGCAACTGGATCTGCAGATGGAGCCCAAAAGAAGTTTGTACAACAAGGTAGTAGGAAGATGGCTTGAATACTGAGAAGCTGGCTGAAAAACAAAACATGAAAAACAAATCTGTAAACACACACATGGTTTGCCAAAACAAACACTTCTTATTAGATTCAAAGGTATCACCTGCCATGAAAACTCTGAGATCAGGATCAAAATAAGCTTTTTTTTACTCTAAAAATCACTGGCTAGCTAGATACAATGCTGGTCCCCACTAATTTGACTACCTATAATGACTCATCCCTGGGATCAGAACCAAATTCAGATTTTCTGTATTACAGCTTCAGTGCTAACTCATTAATACTGAGCAACCCAAAGACCAAGAGGTTTTCTGAGAAAGCATTATCCCAGCACTGTTGCATACAATATGTAATAGTCATATCTCTACAAGCCCATACGTAGCTAAATACTTCTAACAGTAAAGTATTAGATGCTTATATGTAAGTTAATCAAGCCATTACAGAAAAATAAATAAAACTGACATACAGAGTCAGCGTAGTGGAGGAACCAGACTTCCTAATTAGAAACATAGACTTATAGAATATAATGAGTTGGAAAGGACCTGTAAAGATCATTGTATTCAACTCCCTGCTCCTCAGGACTACCTGAAATTAAACCATATGATTAACACCAACATCCAGACACTCCTTGAATTCTGACAGGCTTGGTGCCATGACCACTTCCCTTGGGAGACTGTTCAGGTTTCTGACCACCCTTTCTGTGAAGAACTTTTTTCTAATGTTCAGTTTGAACTTCCCCTGATGCAGCTTCATACCGTTTTCCCCTTTCCTATCGCTGATAATCAGAAAGAGGAGATCAGCACCTCCCCCTCTGCTGCCCACCTGAGAAGTGAGGTGTGTAACACATCACACACAAGGCTACGTCCCTTACCTGACACATGAGGCACATTCACTGTCATCTCATTCAGTAACACACTGCCATCTGATCTGAAAACCACCACCTGTATAATAGCAAAGAGAAACAATGAGGTTCCAGGTACTGAGAGGAAAAGGAACTAATTAAAAAAAAAAAAAAAAAGAGAGAGAGATTTTGTATATTTAGTGTTTGACTAGAATTTTAAATCTTTGAAAGGAAGAATCATTCTGAAAATTGAATGTGGCAGCAGACCTGTAAGATACAAGTACGGTTTCATTTTGCTGTTCAATGTTTCACTTACACCTGCTTACAAAAATTTATAGTAGTAACAAAATGCAAAGCTCGTTCGTACTGAGCGCCTTGGTTTCAGCAAGTAAAAGAAAATATTGGGCCTTCAGGTTCTCTAGCAAGTTCCTATTCCCTATAATAGCATGTGCCACACTTTCAGCACAATAGTTTAGTATGATTCTGGCATGGTAAAAAAGCTGTTTGTTAAACTTCCTCATACAATGCTACTCTGTACAAGCAGAAACATAAATTGATGTGTTTCTGATTTGGTTTGGTTTTGTTCTAGTTATGCTGGCAAGGACATTGAAGACCAGAAACACAGGAGCAAAATTATGTGTACAAGTATGGAAAATTATGTATAAATATAGTCTAGATATCCCCATAACCAAACAGAATACTAAAGTGAATAAAAATATAAATATTTAATAAGGTTGGATTATATAAACATTAAAAGATGGAATCCCTTCTGAAAAAAAAATAATTAAACCTATAAAATTATATCTGAATAAAGCAAAATATTGTGAGGGGAGGAATAATGGTACTCTTAATTTCACCCAGCCTGGAATACAGTGAGAATAATCATATAGCACAGAGGAGAAAAGGTAAGAGTGAAAATGTCAGCTTATTTGAATCTTTCACTCAGTTTAGGTCCACTTTGAGTTCTTGAGGCAGAAGCCTGAGCTGTTTTTAAGACTGTCTGAGGTGCCTTATTTATTCACAGTAGCGACTCCAGAAGAATTAGTTATTGCTCCAAAGTAGAGGAAATATGCTAATTTTCAATATATCTAGCAGAACCCACAGAACACTTACATTTTTTTTGTGATCTACTAACAGCACAACAGTCTTCAAACAGGTCTGCCTGTCTGTGGAGCCACAGGGAGCCAGCTCTGCCAGGAGAGCATGACTGTCATTTACAGTACCCTACAATCACAAGGAAATAGATGTCCATTAGTCAAATCAAAAATCTCGCAAGATGATTTCCAAAAGAAAACCTCAAGTCATCCATTACAACAATTTCTACAGAACTTAGCTATTAAGAACACCACTTCAGCACTGGCTCCAGAAGCTGAACTGTCTTTCAAACAAATTCAGTGATATAGTTTCTAACTCAAGAAGATCTTTGTCATTATCTAGAAGAACACACACCAGATATTTTAGGGACAAATGAATGAAATAGCTGCCTAACTCCTTTCCCTAGATGACTTTGACACTCAGACACAAAAAAAGCTCTTACAGATCTGGCTGAGAGTTTCTAATCCTGAGAACTGCCAATTTTTGCAGTCTACCTATCCAGGCAGCGGGAGTGATCTTTTGATTTCTTACGCATGAAGGACTCCATTGGATGACAGCACACATAGTTACTATCTGACTAAGTTAACCACCCATTGTAGTAGGTGCCCATCTCCCCCCTAGGGCTATTACAGCCCATCCTGAATTTTCCAGTACAATTTTTAGCATTTCTCTTTCCCAGAATAAATCAACAATTCATAGCTGCTGCATATCAGCGCATAGCCACCTGTATTTAGACTGCAAGAGAAAAGCCCTACAGTACACAGTACCTTGGCCAACACATAGTAACAGTTCCCATGGAAGGTGTATTTCTTCCCATCAAAGGTGGTAATATGGGAACCTCCTACCACTGAACATCTGCCTGGACAGGGTAAATCTTTGCACGTCCATCTGCCTGAACTACAGGTGCTATAAACAGAAAAATAATTAAAACAATGGTTGCAGATATTACAGGAGCTGAGAGCACTGAAAGCATCTGTACACCTAGCAAACAGCACCATATCCCCAGATGTTTTAAAACTGTATTTTTGATCATTTCCTTTAGATTTCCCCTCTTCCACATACCACAGACATGAGAAACTTTTCAGATAATTGGTTGTGTAGATGTGCAACATAAATGTTAAGTTCAGAACGTTTTCAGGAATTCTCCATGACAAAGTGGAAGATTGAAAAATGCAGATCTATTTACAATCATTCAAAGAAAGGTGTATAACAACCATGAACATTACCATTCTTCACATTCATTGGTGATGCTTTCCCCAGGTGAATACTTCTTTCCATGGAGTTTGCAGTGGCACTGGCTAGCAGGTATGCAGCCTTTTTCCATAATGTCATCATACACAGTTCCTGTAAAGCACAACAGTAAACTATTCCAGCTCTTTCTGAAATAAGCAATTTTCACAAAGGAGAAACTCAGAGGAGGCATGCTCTCAACTAGACACAGAAAGCAGAGGCAGATTATCAAAACTGTGAAGAATACGTTTTGCAATATAAGATGCACGGAAAACATTTTTATCCAGCTTTGAAAACCCAAGTATCCATGAATATATATATTATACAGTGATGAAAAGTTTAATGTAAGTATTCAAGAAAAATCTCAGAATTTTATATGTTGAGATTTTTCAATCCTTCTGGCATACTCTGTAGATTATCATTGTAGACTTTTTTCCAAAGCTTGACAGTACATCTGAGAGTTGCACTCACTGCCCATTATTATCACTCTCTGGACAAATGATGTGATTGTCTCACAATTATTAAACAAAGCCCCATGATTTTCTATATATTAGCAGAAGTCCATTTGTTGAGATTTATTACCTGTCATTGTGTTAATATGATTGAAATATAAAACCATTGATTACCTAGTCAGTTATGACCTCCTCCTTTAAAAACCTTAGAATTATTTTCCCCAGAGGGCAAATAATGAGTACCAGTACTAATTTTTAAGAGCTAAAATATTACATGTAGTCAAATTATATATGACCTCCTTTGCCAGAACTCCTGGTTTTGTTCCATATACAATAGCTAGAATAACACTTGCCTTCAGGGCAGAAACAACCATCCATGTAGTGTTCCTCACAAAGGCTGCTGGTCTCCAATTGTGAGCAAGTATCCATGCAGGGTGAGCTGCTTTCTCTATAGACCATGGTATCAGGACAGGTCTTGGCTGAAAGAATCAGAAAGACACCACCAGTCTAGAAACCACAGATCATATCTCCTACTCTCCTCAAGTCAGAGGTGTCCAAGCCAGCCTCCATCTGGCAAAGCATGTTTGTCTGTTTCTGAACTGCTTTCTCTGTTTTTATATTTTCTTCTTTTGATCTCAAACAGACCAAATTATTGCAGTCATCTGCACCATCAGACCCCACTTTTTTAATGGGAACAGGCTTTCTACTTGCTGAAAAAATATTTCTTAATAACAAAAGTAATAGAAGAAAAAAACCAGGAAGAACATAGTGCATAGATTATTGCACTACTGGTATGAAATTTATAACAGATACCTATAGTTCTGTAAAGAAGGAATGAATTTAAATGTTTCACAGTGCTACATCCATTAGATGTTTGTTGCTTTGTAGAATTTAAATAGCTGCTTACGGCAAAAGTACTGCGTCCTCCATTCACCCGGCCGGCCACCCGCATGTGAACACTGTCGAGAATACTCAGAGATGGTGCTACAGAGGCAGAAGGAATCTTCATTTCCATCACATGCACACTTGTCCTGCATGCAGGCTTGGATGTACATTTCCAGATTAAGACGTAACCAACAATCAGCAAATGCAAAGGAAGTCAGCAACCTCTCACACTCATCACGCTAAGGGAGAGTAATAATATTAAAGAGATTTGTAAGCAACTGAGCTTCTAGAAACTTCCTAACTTGTCCAAAACTGTTGTCTTCTGAACAGCAAGTTATTTAAGAAGGGAAGAAGAAACCATTTTCCCTGGAAGGGACAAAGTCTTCCCAGCTCCTCACACACTAACTCTTCATAACACAAGGATGTCTCCATGTGAAGTTCACCACCAGGAATACTCACATGCCTATTACAGCTTGGAATAGCCTGAGTTTCATCAGGATCTTCACATTTGGCATTGGGTTTGTTGATCTTCTGTAAATTCCCATACGTAATTGAATTGTAGCTTGTATCTATGAGGAAAAATTACAAAGAGGACTTGCTGAGCCCAAAAATTGACAACAAGGAATATCCGATTCATGTGACTCCACTGATTAAGAAAAATAGTTACCATGGTGTCAAATACACCTGTCAGACAGAGGTCACTGCTTTGAAATATGTCTACAATGTCTAAATGTGCTTCAAAATGTAAAATGGTAACCAGAAAAGAAAGCCAGTAGAGAAAAGAACAAGGTGAAAACAAGGTGAAACTGGAATAAAATAACTTTAGAACAGGAATGCAACACTAGAACATGATGTTTATTCTTGGGCAGTCACAGAATTCTCTCAGGTGAAATGTGCTCTCCTGTGATGCTCCTGTGCATAGTGTTTATCAACCTATCTTCAGTGATAACTGTCAATATAGTAGGATGACTAACCTCCATTGATAAACTCATTGTAGATTGGAATTCCATTGTAATCCCCACAGAGACCACATGTATGGTTATTAAATTTGCTGTCCAGCTCCACCTAAGTAATGAAAAGAAGAAGAAAAAAAAAAAAAACCACACCAAAACAATTATCTAGAGCATGAAGACATTCCAAAGAAAACATGTTTAAATCAAAAGAGAAGTTGCTAAATGACAGAAATGACGGTGAACCCAAAACTCCCAGAGAAGTAGCTTTTGAAAATTAATTTTTAATACAGGTAATAAATGTACAGTTAGATGCAAAAAAGTAACACAGAAAACAAAGTGACTGAAGCTCCAGTATTTCAATAACGGCAGTAACCACCATGGTGATAAAGATGAAGAGGAAAGCATTTCTAAAATCACAGGACTTCTTCTCTCCCTTTTGCCCCTTGTGGGATAAAACTTAAGTCTTGCTATAAATCAGGAAATTCAATTATGTCCTTTAAAAGAAAAATGAAGGAAAATGCAGATTAGATTGTGGGGATGTTATAGCAAAAACATTAGCTATTTCTCAGAAAGCTCCTTCTCTTTTTCTTGCAACTAGTAAGATCATCCTCATGCCATACTGCTACCTCTGTCACACTGCAGAGAAAGGAGTTTTATGTTATTAAAATTAAGGTACGAGTGTCAGATGGATGTCACCCTAATAACCTAGCTCTGTTCAGTTTGTGAGATTCGACTTATGTTCAGTATACAGTAGTCTGTCTGAGTCAAGAAATACCAATTAAAAAAAGACTTGCATCATACATACCATCAGTGCATCTTCCTGATTCCATATCAGAATGAGGCCTAATTTGGCATAAACCTTGGTGTAAATGTCATTGATCTCAATGAGCATTCCAGAGCTGTAGTAAGGCGTCCTCACACTAGGAAGAAAATTGGAGACTTTGCATTAGTACGGAAACATAAGCAGTGTCATGAATGCCTGTAATAAGCCAAATACCCTAAGGAATAGAGAAAGCAGTCTTGGTGTACCTGAACCTAGTTGCACAGGATGCCTTTTTTTAATGAGATGTAAAATCCTCTCTAACACTTCATGCAATAACTCATTGCCTTTAAAAGGCAAAGCAATTTCAGAGGGAAATCTCCCTTGAGAGTACAGGTTCTTTAAGAAAAAAAGGCAAAATGTCAGATGTCCTCAACATAATAAAGGAAAATCCATTATCATTGTGTTATTAACGGAAGATATTCAAACACTTGCTAATAATTTACTTAAATGAAGTAAGTAACATCATAAATGGAAGATTTTCTTTACCAAAAGATCTGACAACCATTTCTGAGAGTATGAATGTTCCTTTGCAATTATCTTCTTCCTCAAGAGGGAATTCAAAAAGCACAAGCAGGTGGTGACAGCATTCTTTATTCTGACTTTTTATGCTGGATTTCCATGGGCTTTGTTTCAGTCGAGGAAAGGCTTGTAGCAGTTACCTTAATGGTATACAGACTGCTGTGTAAAGAATCAATCCCGGTTTTTCATTCCCAGCATATTTCTCTGAAATACTATTATATTAAAGGAACTTACACCCGCCCATCCACCACAGCCAGTTTTGGTCTAAGATACACAGCCAAGTCCTTGATTGTTATCAGAATGTACTGGATCTTAGGATGGTTATTGCTGTCCAGAGCACGCTGAATGTGGACAGAGAACTCCTTGTAAGACTCCCGGCAGTCTGAAGCAAAATTATACTCGCAAACGCCAGGGAATTGATAGATGTCTCCATCAAAAGTTTTGAAATGGTTGTTTCCCCAAGTGCTGCAGACATAGTGGCCATGGTTTCTTGTCCTTCCTGTTAAGTGATGAAAAAGAAATAGGCATTAAATAATTAAACGAATAAGCTAGCACCAAGAAAAGCTACGTGTTGCATTTTACAGTTGAAACCACTTGCACTTATGTGCAGAGTGATTCCACAGATCTCAAGCCTGGTCAAGTATCTGCCTATTAAGCAGAAGACATGTGAATCTCCAGTGGAAAATAAGACATGAACAAATATTGCTGAGACCTGGGTATATCTTCTAATCCTCACAGAGGTGAAGTAACTTGTCTGTGTGAGGTGGGAAAACTTAACCTGACCACTAACAAGTTGGTGCATCATTGCAGTGGAGCTGTTTTGCCAAAGATACGAATTTATTCTGAATCACAGTATTATTTTCAGCAATAATAAATATTTCTAAGAGCTATTTTCTTCCCTGATGTAACATGTGCTAGAAAGGAAACAGAGTTAGGAAACCAAGGAACTACCACTCCCACTTCAGAAAGCAAATAGGTTAAATGTTATGAAGGGACTTGTGCACAACAGGAGTTTTAAAAGAATTTCTTCTTTTCCTAACAGAACAAGTCCCTTGATTCACAGAATCATATGATTCTATAATTCTAACAGAAGTAGTGATTTCTGTTACTACAGAATACAAATGTTTCAGAAGATAGGTCAGAAAATAACCAGGGGGGGGAAAAAACAAAACAAAAAAAACCCAACAGGCCAAGACCAATACCCCAAACCTGACCACTGCACAAAATTATCACCCATTCCTCCAAAAATATGGATTTTCACTATGAGAGCTCCATTTCAACATTTCAAACAAAGTTGCTAACAAATAGAGAAAATTAGAGCTTTTAAAGAAGAATTATTAATGTCCTGAAAGACATTAATGTCCTGGAAAGAATAGTGACACTGAAAATATTTTCCAAGCGCACCAAACTAGAGATTAATGCAGTAAATATAGGTACTAATTTCTCCAAAGAAAGCAGTATCTACCTATGTTGGCTGAGCCATGTAGTCAGTATTTAAAAGACAGACAGACATTGAAGGCACCTTTAAATTCCGATGCATTATTTAAATGCACTGCTTGCTTCTATTTCTGCAATGGTATTTTAATTCTCTCCCTCTTTTCCAGAAAGCAATCTGCTACCATTTAATTTCTAGAGCTTACCTTTTCTTATTTCATATGCATAGGAGAGAGCCAGCCAGAGCATTAAAAGGCTGGCAACTCTTAGCCCCATGGTGACTAAGGTGGGTGAACTGGGAACTCCAGTATAAATTTTCTTTATATAATGTCCACTTATGCAATTGATTCTATCACAGGGGAGGAGATACAAAGGGAGGAGGAAAGAGGAGGGGTAAAAAATTGGCATGATATTTACAGAAGATAAGAAGTAAACAGATATTTTTCACCATAAATGAAGGAATTCAGTATACAGGAAATGGTATAATATTGATTCAGTAGTCATGCAATGTTTTATTGCTCTATTTCATCTACAGGATGCTATGCTTTTAAATCCTTCAAATGCTCACGCCAAGTTTAACCTTCAGTAACTCCCATAACAAATAGTGAATTTTGGAATGACTGAATAAATAAATCCCTTGAAGGAAGTTTAGGATAAGGTACCTTCAAACAATGGCTTCAAAGCCAAAGGATTTTTCATTTTTGACCATCACACAGAATGATTTCTGTAAAAATTAACAATGGTTGTGAAGGTCATTGTACATAACAGTAACCCTTAAAAAAAATACACCATGAACTGTAAAATTATTTTGCAGGCAATTGCTGGATTCCTTTAATTTGTAAAGCTCTGGGGAACATCTAAAACAAGGCATAGCCCATACTGCATGTTATGCCCAAAATGCCCAAAAGATAATTGAGATGGGATAACTAGGTAAATTTAAGTAATTCATGGCCAAAGAGATGCTCTATCAAACACTGTTATGGTGCAACACAAAGTCTATCAAAAAGGTTGTAGAGGCTTTTCACAACATATTGAACTTTTGGGATAAGGAAAAAAAAAAAAAAAGAAAAAGAGGAAAACATTACTGTCCAGATTTAACAACAATTGTTGTCAGACAGAATCCCCCTAAACAGCTCGTTGTTACTTACCTTCTACATGAATGTTAATTTTGTAGTCTACTACTCTTAAATAGTAGTAGACTATGGTCTAGTGCAAAGTGTCCCTGCCCATGGCAGGGGGGTTGGAACCAGATGATCTTTAAGGTCCCTTCCAACCCTAACCATTCTATGATTCTATGATAAATGTTCAGTGTTCCTTACTTCCATTGCTTAAATTACAAGTAGAACTTTCATATTTTATAAAACGCCAAGGAAACTACAGTTAGCCCTTGTGGCTGTTATAGCCAACTAGAAATCCCCTTTTGTCATAAAGGCATGGTCTTTAGCTCATTTTTTCTTTGATTTGCTATTTTAATCTCAAGTACAGCCTAGCCTCAACCCAAACATCTTCCTGTTTTCCCTCAATACATCTCAAAAGGCTTTTCCTATTTGAGCATACAAATTTGCCCTTTCCCTTACATAGGGTAAGGCTGGTGTTTTTCTCCTATACAGGTGAGAGATGTCCCTTTCTTTAGGTGATACGCATAGGTCTAACTGCTTGAATAGCTACTCAGCCAAGGACCACTAAGTTTTAGTGACTGATTTTCTCTGCTCAAGCTCTGGATTTCCTCTACAAGGAACATGATTCCTTCTTGCCTATAAAGTTAAAACAGAACTATTTTTTTTGTCCAGTCTTTTCTTCTCAGAGTGACTAACAACTTCTCATTGTCCCTTTTTTGTATATACAGGAAGCTGTGGCTCACTGTGCCATCCTAAACTGGAGAATAATGGAAAGCAACATGCCTTTGAGCATTGTGACCAGTCTTACTGCATTTGCACTCATGTTTGTATAGCTGTGCTGATCTGAGGAGAATCGAGTACAGATCCTTATCTTCACAATTCATAAGTATTTGTACCTTTGCTAGCATTAGAAAGAGTCCTAAACTGTACCATCTCTGTTTCCTTATTGCCAGAAGGGTAATAATCCTGTCTACCAGCTGCTTTATATGCCTTTATGAACTAATCAGACTTTCAGGTAGACATCATAGCCTGTTATATCTCATGCTCGACTGCCTTACAGTTTATTGAATTACGCATTTTAATCCAGAAGAATCTTATTGTTAATGCGCAGATAACGGCATCCATATGTACACATTAATTTATTTACTACAAATTGTTTAACAGTCTGAAATGATCAATCCATTTTGGAACAAAGATGAATCTGTTCTAGCATAAGCACATTTTCTTTAAGCTTACATCAACGTTTTACATCTGAACTGGCCTGTCTGTCATGTCATTCTTTGCTTCTGGTCAGCTTCATGAAAAGTCATCTTCCTCGTTCCGATGCCAGTTGTTCAGTTGCATTTAATACCAATGATACTTATAATTCTGCATGCACTTAATCGTCTCCCAGTAGAGACACTACCACTAAAAACATATGGAATCCTAACTAACAGCTTTTGCTTCCACTGTGCAAGAACAAGCAATGAGGAGTGTTTTTATATTTGGGTCCCAAGCTGAGACTCAACAGAGACAGTTTTTTAAAAGTTCCAGAAGTCCATGAGTAGAAATACAAGTTCCCATAATTTTTCACCATATGGCTGACTACACCAGGCAATGCTAAAATTCAAAGTTTAAAACCAAAGCTGATTGCATGGCCAGTGTTTTTGTTATAGCGGCAGATGCAGAAGGAGAGATAAAAAACGTGTTTTGAGTCATAGCTGTGTAAATCATTGAGTATTTCCCTACCCTTAAACTTTTATGAGACTATTTGTAATCATTCCATCAGCATAGCTAACTTTTAAAGTTCATATTAATTACAGTGTAAATTTATTTTCCAGTATACTTTCTGTTAAAAAGAGAACCTACAAAGAAGATTATTTTCATTCTGACTCACACTGCAGAAGAAAATGGCCTATATGGAAAATTTATATCACTTTAAGATGAAATTAAGCAGAAACCTGGCTAGGCTTATTGTTTTAGGATGAATCAATTTTTTTTTCCCCCAAGGATCTGGAGTCTGTTTCTATTTATTAATGTACCAAGAGGAAATCCCACTGCAGTCTTGTCATAGCAATCTGAGGATAACTACTGTACAAAGACCTCAGAAAGTAGATGATGAATAAAATTCTTTCCATATCTTCTTTTGTATTCCTGACTTGCTGCTGATCAGAGGCTGTCAGACAAAGAAGCAATGTTCTATCGGTGACAATGGTCTGCAGAAGTAGCCACAGTATTTTGTTCTGCCACTCTTCTACCTGCAAGCATTTCACCAGAGCACACAAAGCCTCCTTCCACATGACCATCCAACTGCACTACATACACTTTATGTCAAGCACAGAGATGGGTTGTTTGAACTCCCTGGTAGCCATTCTGGCAAAGTATAGGCAGATTATGAATTAAGAGATGTCTGAGATGCAATCACGGCATGTCTTTGACCAAGACGCCAGCAAGAACTCTATAGCACATACTGACGAAAACTTAAGAAAGCACAGAGACAAGCAGCAGAAGGCCTAGCAGTGCATGAAAGAGGGTGTTAAAATGATGACATAGAAGTAATGAGGATGCATTTCTTTTTGGTGTGTATGCTGTCATCAGGTTAACCTAAAACTTTCAACAAAAAAGGAGACAATATTTATATGGATGTACAACTGGTATAAAATAACTGCAATTATTAATTTATGGGGTTTATGTTATTAAAGAATTAGAACCAAGTGGCAAAAACTGTGACTATAACCAATTTATTGCTCTCTCAGACTTTCCAATGGGGAGTCAGTAGTGAAGTATTTTTACAAAAAGAACTTTAGTGCACAGAATGTCCATGTAAATGTACTCAACAGTCAAGTTTTTATTTAAGGAAGTGTTACAAAAACCTGTACTTTTTTGATTGATCCTAGGTCCCTTCTGGAAACAGGCTAATATCGTGTTATTAATTATCCTATCATTTTACCCAAAGGCATTCAATTTCTAATTAGACTAATCTCAGCTCTACCACTAATATTATTGCTGTGACATTGGGTTATTGGCATTCTTTCTTATCCAAAAAAAAAATACAATAATCTAAGTTATCTGCTGATGCTAGCTGGAGTATAACATTCTCACATATGCTTCCTTAAATGGTTTGATGCAGAAATTTTAAGATTAGCATCCATTCTCCACTCCTAATACTGTCTTCTTTTTGTCAGTAGCTCACACACTTGAGACTAAGATTGCAAAAACTTTTCTTTCTCTTCCAGTTGGGTGCAAATAGGGATAATTATGTGACACACCATTACCGGAGATTAGGAACAGATGTAGTAATAACTTAACTAGCAAACTTTCCTACTAATAAAAAGGTATTTTTCCTACTTCTATAAAAGGTATGTCTGTGAAAAGCCTCAGCGTGACAACTTCTATATTAATACACATGGAAAAATACTGTATGATTTAAAGAAGATCCATGCTCAAGCATTTATTGGAATTACTACAAGGAAATGGACAGAACAAAGAACAGATGAGACAGAAAATGCATCAAGGGAATTACACTCCACACTCCTTTCTCCCTAGCAAGTTTACACCAGTGGAGTGGGATTTTCCAATTTCTTTTTTTCTCTCTAGAAAATACTGGAAAGAAAAATACTGGCAAAATGTGCATTTTTTTCCTCTGTCTTCTGAAGAGGAGGGTTTTTTTCTGAAAATACAGCACACTAAAAAGCTGGGAAGCATTCTGAACAAAGCTTGTGCACTTAAACCTGTGTTCTCTCAAAGGAGTTCACATATCAAGGAGATGTTAGAGAGAGTTTGAACAAGAAACAAAGTGAGCATAGTTGCTTTAACTGCAATTTTCCTCCACTAATATTTTCTACCATGTCCTTGTCTCAAAATTCCTATTGTCACTGATGGTGGAACTGAAGTAAATTCTTAATATTTTCAGGTGTCATATGGGAAATCAGACTCACCTTACTGCCACAGACAAAACTAGAAAGCAAACCCTTCACTCTTCCTTTACTTTTGAAGCCATATATGGATATGGCATCCAAGTCAATATTTGCTGTGAGTTATTTTTTAGCTTTCAAAACCAGAATATTTGAATGACCCTCCAAAGAATACACTGAATACCTTCTTATTACATGTATATTCTCCTATTTTACAAAATGTCCAGCCTAGTCACGTGGCTGATAGATTAAACTTTTCCCATTT